AAAGCTCCCCAAAAGTCATCACTAGCTTCAATCTATAAGACGCATTTTGTCAGGGATTTCGAGTGGAGGAGGATGCAGACAAATTTCCTTTAATTTTTGGACATTTGTTGTTTGATTGAGACCCCAAGAGGATGGATTTTTTCTCAAAAGTCTAGACAACTAGTTGGTATGATGAGATACTTGAGAAATAAAATCTCTGATATAATTAATTATACTTAAAAACTGTTATAATTGAGTGATAAATTTTCATCAACAAAATTCAATAACTCCTCAGCAATGTGAGAACTTGGCTGGCACCGTTTATCTTGAATTAGTGTACCCAAAAATTCTATTTGAGCTGCACCAATGTATCCTTTTCGTGTTGAAAGCATAATTCCGTACTGTTGGATGATTTTATAAAATTGAGCTAAAAGATCCTTGTGCTCTTGTTCAATTTCTAAGAATAGCAAGATATCATCAATGTAAACAAGAGCACTGTGGATAATGGGCTCAAAGATTCTGATCATAGCTTTTTGGAATAGTGATGGGGCAGTTTTGAGATCAAAGGGCATGATTGGTCATTGGTATTGGGCATTTGGAATACAAAAGGCTGTCTTGTGTTTGTCTGTAGGATCTATTCCAAGCTGTCAAAATTTTACTTTGAGATCAAACTTTGAAAATATCTTAGCCCGTTTAGGCAAAGGAAATTTGTCATCTTGAAGAAAGGCATTAAGAGGTTTATAATAATTACCAACCTCTTTTTTCGTCTTTGCTTTTCAGATTTTTTTTCTACATGAAAAGCTTGACAAGTCTAATCTCTGACTTTGTGAGCTCAATAAAACCTTGTCTGAATAGGGCTGCACACTCTCCTCTAGCCAAGGCAAGATCTTCTGGATGCATCCCAGGTTGGCATGCTTTTGTTGGGTTAACATCTTCATTTTTCTTGAAAGAAAGTTTTATGACAAATTCCCTGTTTTTCCATAGGGGATATAGTTGCTGAAATTGATCACGTATAGCAGAATTCAAGTTGATCCTTGATATGTACATCTAGGGAAAAATCTTATACCAATTTTTCTTTTTCTAATAAGATCTATTTTAAAGAGCTTATCATCAGCTGTGACAAAGTATTCATTATGAAGGACCCATTCTTCTTGAGAGAGAATATGGGGTTTCATAATAGTTTTGCAGGAACCAGTATCCATGAAGGCGATGACAGAGACATCATATTTGGAAGGTAGCATTTAAATTTGTACATTGGGTTGTGGTAGTTGTGGTAGGTGAGGTGGTTGGTTGAGATTTATAAGGCCTATAAGTGTTGGGTTGCCTAATGTGACTATGAGAGAAGTACTTTTAGAATTTCTCTCAAGAATGACTAGAGATTTGAGAGAGTGATTCCAAAATCTTAATGAATATGACAAAATCAAGGCTACTCAAATCAATACTTCTCCATTCCTTGAAGTAATTCACAGAATTTCTTGGAGATTTCAATATCATCGATAGAAGAAGCGGGCAAGAACTCTTTTAAATGAAATTTTCACTTGACCGAAATGATCTTCAGAAGCACTTCCAACAAATGTTCGAGAAATATTATGTTAAATAGCGCAAATGATGTTAATCTTAGACATACATTAATTGCTTCATTACCAAAAGAACTTCAGCCAAAGCTGCACAGAGCTATCAATGCATTAAGGAGAGATATGTCACAAATATCTCTTGGAAAAATCTATCAACTAGCTTTGTCTACCTTGGATAAGCTTTGGGAGCAACAATAATTTTTGAAGTCCATATTGAAAGGAAAACCAAGATTACAGTGAACTTGTAAAAAAGCCCTATTTGAAAATTAAATGTAAAGAATTTGATCTTTGTTTTTGCAAGAAGAAAACTTATTTTCACAAGTGTAGGTGTAAATCATTCAGACGAAGAAAGCATTGTTTCTTAAGATTCTTCAAGAAAAGAACCTCAAAAACTAAGAGACCAGACTGATGCTTCATCTGTGGACAAAAGAGGCATTTTGCAAAAAAGTGTTCTAACAAATCCAAAAAAGATATAAAGTTATTACAGTCTCTGGAGATTAGCATTCCTTTTGATGATCATCAAAATGTTGAATATGTTCTTGAAGAATAATCAGAAAAGGATGAAAATACTCATTATGTTTTACCAGTCTTTGATGACTACTCAGATGATGAACAAGATTCCCATCAATACCACCTCTTTATGCTATTGGGCCTAGCCCAATTCAAAGCCTTGTCCTGGTTTTATTTTGAGTTTGTTGTTGAGTTTGAGGCTAGACCATTGCAATTTTTGATAAACTAGGTGTGTATTTGTTTCAGAGTATGTATATTCTATAGAGGCTTCAGTTGAAGTGACAGAGTTTGTATCTTCCGCTACAAAGTCTATGTTTTCTTGTTCAGAGAAAACCTGGTTAAAAACATTTCTCACAAAAGCAATTGTTCTAGAGGCATTTGAGGAATCTTCAAACCCTTTGAGTTTTTCAATTGTAGCTGGTGGCTTCATTTTAGGTGAAGAGTTAGGTGATGTTTTTATAATCAAAGGTTTTTCTGGGATCTTGATAAATGATGGTGAGGTTTTGTAATCTTGAGATTTTTGGCACGAAGATGGATCGTAGGATATAGGTGTCTTGGCTTTTTGAAGTGATGTTTCGGGGTTTTTCTGAGAACTAGATGAGACATCTTAAACACCTTACTGTAATTAGTCTCAATTGAGTAAGTTGGATGCATGGAGGTATATATTGAGAATTGTCTAATTATAGTGGGAAAGGTTGAATAAGACTTGTAAATAGTTCTGGACTGATCTTGAGTTAGGTCTGCTTCTATTTGCTGTGATTGTTTCTTTACTTCATAAATTTCTTTTTGTTTTTGAAATGTTATGGTCCATCATATCCTTGATTGATAAACTTGCGAGGTTTTGTATCCAATTCCACTACTCACCTTTATCCTGTCATCTATTTTTCGTTCAAGAAGAGGAAATTCTTCCTCATAAGGTTGGCTCTGGCATTTGGGGAATGACTAGTATAATTGGATTTGGGTTTTCCATAGGGAGGAGATCTTCATGACCAAGTTCCCAAAATAGTTTGAAAAGAGCATTTCTTTCTGTGGGAGGATTTGGAAGTCCTAACCATTTCTTCTTTGTAGATTGCTTAGGGCTATGATCATCATCATCATTCTTGGGAGGACACTTTCTGTTGCATAAAGATCTAGGATGCTTAGGCTTCCTAATTCTTCTTCTGAAACTGTAATCATCATCAGGATCATTCTAGAGATAATAGTTACAATTGAGATCACACATTTCTAGAGCACAATCTCAAAGAAAGTGATCATTGATATGTGAGACATAAACAGGTTAAGCATTTGCACCAAACCACTCGATCAGAGGGTGTTCCTTGTCTGCAAAGAATGCTGGGGAAATGAACATGATCCTACTAAAGATCTAGTTTGGATTTTGGATTCTAGGCTTTTTAAAGACAGATTTAACACTACCATCTTGCATCCTAAATAAGATACGAGGATTTGTAGTGTGAACATCTCTTTGAATACTCTGGAACTGTTTTTGATAGTTATTGATCCATTCTAAAGGCATCATCTTAGCTAGCTGTTTAGTGGGTAGCTTATCTGCAGAATTGAAGGATTTTCTGAATTATTTTTGCAACCATAAACAAAGCATCACCAGTTGCATTAGAAAAATTGAGATCAAATGAATGATCTTGGAGTCTGAAGATCATCTAGTGGTGAAGAGTGGGGCCACGATAGCATTAGGTTCCTGTTCAGCTCCATCTTGTAGAAGATCGCCACCAGCTAGATAACGCATGAAAATTTCACTTTAATTGAATTAAAAGAATTTTTATGTGAAAGAAAAATTATCTAGTCCCAGTTCCTAATCTCAAATGCACACATCTCACAGTCCAATCCCTCATCTGTCCATTTCGCCAAGTGACCTATTGCCATCCATCCAATATGAATTTCTTGAATCGCTCACAAACCTTGCTGTACAAATAGGATATCCTACTTGGATAGAATCCTGTGACGAGCATCATCATCCACAACCCTATCACTTCCATCGATAGTTAGGACCCATACCAAATAGAGACACAGACTTATCAGATATTTCTAGAGCTAAAGGATACAATAACCCAGGATCCACTCAAGATATGGATCAAGACTTTGATGAATAGTTGGAAGAACTCATGCATGACAACCTTATAGGTAGAAGGCGCCAAAAGGAAGAAAAAAAGTTGGCTCAAACTATCATATAACCAGAAGTGCATCCACAAAAGCTTGCGCTAATCACGGAAGGAATTTGCTTTTAGCCATATTTTGTTTTAAGTGTTTGTCTTGTTGTTACTTTGTCCAAAGTCACTTTTGACTTTTGAACAAAGCAGTTTGCTTTTAGTTATATCATCTTGCCTTTACTCTTACCTTGTCTAAAGTAACCAGGCATGTGATAAAAGTTTGTCCACTTGAAATCATGTACCATCTGTCCTGATCCTCCACACTATGTCTCTATAAGGAGGTTTCAGTTTGCGTGTAACGCAGAACTAGTTTGCCGGGGGGGGGGGGGGAACGTGTGTTCTTCAATCATGTCTCTTTGAACTCTCTCTCTCTCATAAAAGCTTGATTCTTTAATATCCTTTTTTTATCATACCTAGATTTAAGTATGCTCTACATTTGTCTCTCTGAGAAACCTATGCACCAAAAAGAATTTGACTAACAATTCATAAGTGTGTGAGCCTATGTCATTACACTTAGAAATCCATGGGTTAAAGTGTCAAAGGGTTGAGGATCCTAAAGTGGCCCAAGTTTGCCCAAGAGAGGTGTTGAGAGGGGATCAATATACCCTGTAGTACCAAGACACAAGAATCTTCGAGACTAGCACACGAGTCCCACCCTCTTGGTAACACTGTTTGTGGTTTACATTTCTTGGCTTATTTGGCAAGTGAATTATACTTATGAATTTTTCTCACTTTTCAAGTCATTGTTGGTGACCCATTGATGCTGCATTTGAAGGTCATGGAACTTAGCTGCAAATGAGAACCATCTGTGGGAGTTGCAGTATGTTATGCTCTATGGTGGTTTTGTTCAAGAGCAGCCTATCAGACTGGATGGAGACAAAAAGTATCCACTCATATTGAATATGGATTGGAAAGAAGCCGTTAAAAGAGCATATACTGGTGCGAGTTTGGATTCTTACTTTTCACATCCAATACCTAGTCAATCAACATATGTTGTAAAACTACATCAGTAGAGTAGAAAATCGTCTATGTGCATAGCTCCTAATCTATTCTGAAGTTTTGAACATATTTGAATGTTTCCATCCTCACAGAATTTCTGATTCACATGCTTTATCCAATTTAGTGATGATTGGTTGTCTTTACATTAATTTGGCTGTTATATCAGCTGTAACGAGTTGGGGATGTAGGTACCATCCTGGAAGATACATTAGCATGATCATACATTTTGATTTGATGAAAATAGTCAGGGTAGTTTCAGAAGTACTTTAAAGTTTCTATAGCCTGTTGACTAGTGTTGAAACCAGAGTTCAGGGGCATTGATTTTCTTGTCATGACTGAGTCTGCAATTTCCTCAAATCATTTTTTATCCTATAATATACAGAATGCAGTGCTTTACTTGCTTTCACTTTCAGTAAGCATAGTTTCGCATTCAAAATGTTTCTATTATTTTCTCATCGTATAATCTACTTTGATATAGGAGCTCTATCGAAGAAATTAACATCCAATAGGGGATACTGTGCACACTGCAAAACAATAGTTTGGCTGAATAATTCAAAATGTCTCAATGCACATTGTGCTATTACATCCAACATTCAAGATATCATACCTGTAACTGCTTGCCAGGTATCCTATTTACTGATAGAACGAGATGACTTTGTTTCTAATTGTGCATGATATTTAAACTAGATAGAGGTTGAAGAATGAATGTTTCTATCGTTTGAAACAATGACTTCCACGCAGTGCATAGATAATTTATGGGGAATTTTGAGGGAGAAGGACAATTAAGTCCCAAGGTGACCATTTTATTCAACTTAAGTTCCAACAAATTTCTGAATGTAAAGTAAGTCTCTTGATCCTTAAGTGATATTTTGATGCATGGGAATGAGTTGCAAATTCAGTTGGCCAAATTTGGAAGCTAAAGTTGCAAATTCCTTGTTAAAATTTAATCACTAGGATTTGTGTTCCCTATTGAAGTTGGGAAAATGAGTTACAAATTCAAGGTGATGAAATTATAAATTTTGGGAGATAAAATTGCAAATTCCTGGAAATGTACAAAAAATAATATATTTCTTTTCAAATTTAATCATTAAGATTTGTATTTTTTATTAAAATTTGGAAAAACAAGTTGTAAATTCAATAAGATGAAATTGAAAATTTGGGAAACAGAGTTGTCAAATTCTTTTTAAACTTAATCATTAAGATTTGTTTTCCTTATTAAAATTGGGAAAATGAGTTACAAATTCAACAAAATATTTTGCAAATTTGGGAGATAGCGTTGCAAAATATCAAAATATCACCTAAGGATCAAGCAACTTTATGTTCAGGAATTTGTTGGGACTTAAGTTGAATAAAATGGTTCCCATGGGGCTAAGTTTCAGTCTCCCTGATTTTTACATAGACAACCTGTTGCCTAACTAACGTCAAGATGGCAAGAAAAGGTATCTAAATATGAATTCATTGCTGGGAGCTTTGTAAGGAATGGTGAGTAATTCCTACTGAAGATTTCCTTAAATTTCTGATGCCATTGTAGTCCATTTATTCAGACATTTGTTATTGTCAGTCTCTAGATTGCCAGCAAAAATTTCTGATCCAAACATTTTTTATGCATATCTAAAAATATAACATTCATTTTGACAGTCATTTTCTTGAAATTGTGTTTCTGAAATAATTAGTTATTAATTGTGTAAAAGCTCCCTCATTTCAGGTTGTTGAATATCTTCTGGATGATTCTTTGTTGATAACATCTTCCTCAGATAGTGACAGTGATTCAGGAGAACCAGTTTCTAGGTTATGGGCATATCCCAAGCACTTCAAAAGGTAATCAGAGAAAAACATGCAGTCATTCTCTTTCTCAATTTGTGCATGTCATCCTTACGCTATGTTGGGGCCATGCTAATGTACTCTGTATCTTGTATACTTTAGTTTTGAAAGGAGCAAGTAAACAAGGAGTATGACATTTAAATCCTAAAATATTGAATTAATAATATTTAGGTTTTTGATAAAATTTTCTGAGAAATGAATTGAAAATATTGATTCAGACAATTGTGAATTGAGGAGCTTTAGTTGTAAATAAAATATTTAAGATTTAGATATAACTTTTAGATTGTAACTAGGATTTATGTTTGCAATTGTGTGAATTAGTATATTTTTTGAGACGATAGTATGAATTAATATTTGCAACTCATTTTTAAAAAAATTTCACAGGAAATCTAATGGTTATTAAGTCAATCTTATCTAACATTATTTTCCTTTAAGTGTTAGTGACTGTTAAGAAAGTTGTGGGTGGTAAAGTACGCTTTATTAATATGTACATATATATATATATATATATATATATTCATATTTAAAGTACATCAACCTCAAACATGATATCATAGCTTACATTCATTTGTAATCTGTATGTTTTTTCCCCCCATTATTCACACTTTCAAATTATTTCAAAGATAAATTGATTGATTACAAAGTTATCGTGGCATGTTTACCAGCCAATTTCTTCAAGACATCTAACTCACATTCTCAAGTACGACTCCCATATTTGATTCTTTGCCTAATAATATATTTAAAGATTGCATTGTTGATATAAATATATATATTTATTATATTTTATTAAAACTAATCATACACCCAAGCAAAGCACGGAATGTTCTAATAAATATATTGTAAAAAAATATATATTGAATGTAAAAATTGTTTCATGAAACTATGCTTATCTATATTTGGAAAAAAAAGGGAAAATAAATCCTTCGGTCCTTGTAGTTTCATTAAATTTTGAATCAGGTTCTTATAATTTTTTTGGGAGAATATCAATCAAGGATTGTTGGAGGAAATTTATATCAGTTAAGAAATTATTTGTTGTCAAAATTCAAATAGATACTTGTCGATTTGGGTTAGTTTTTTATTAACAAATATTCATTTAGGTTTTAACAACTTATTCTAAAGTAATCCATTCGAATTTTGACAATAATTATTTTTTGACTGATATAAATTTTCTTTGGCAGTCCTTCACCGCTATTTTCCCTAATTTTTATTTTATTTTTCTTCAGTCCTCATTATTTGCTCAGTTAGCAGTGTTAGTCCTTCCATTTGTAAATCTTTTTCACGCGGTTAGTTCAAGTTGACAGGGGATGATGTATTGCCAAATAAGACCTGAGTAAGAAACTGTATGGACATACACTGCCACGAAGATTAAGTAGACATATTGAGGTGTATCCAAGTAGCAAGTCCAGAGATCGAGGGAGATTATTGAATTGTTCTTCAAACGGGTAAAAGCACTAGAGATTGAGGTTGAAGATGGCTTTTTGCGCAAATAATAGACGAAGGCAAAATTGTAGGCCAGAGACGAAAGCTGTCAAAGGTGTTGAAGGGAAAATCATGGATAGCCTTGAAGATGACTTTTGCGTAACTTCTCACTTCTCAGGTATAAGGAGCAGATATTGTTATGTAGATTGTTGAAGGTGGTGTCTATGGAACAAAAGGCGCCGAAGGGATTTGCATGGGATGCTTTTTATTTTGATTTTGATTTTCATATGGAAACTATCAAATTAGAGGCTTGTTGTTTATTTATTTATTTTTACAATTTTCTGTCATATTTTGGTGGATTTTTTTTTTTGGTCCTATGATGATGGTTGTGCACGTTCTCTAATGGCGAGAGAGGATCTCATATGGGTCATTTTCAAGAAATGAACACACCCAGTTTTACGTTTGCATTTTATTTTTTTAATCATCTTAGCTTTCGCACACATCAACACTTAGAAATATGAAAGAACAAAAAAATTTCTGTGTGCCTCTGTTAGCAAGACAAAACTCAGAGGTTATAAAAATAACTTTTTGAAATATATATAGGGTTAATATGTAATTTGAATCTTAAATTATAGGTTCAGTAGTGATTTGAATCTTAAATTTTTAAAAAGTATATTTTAAATTTTAAATAATTAAAATTGAGGTAAGTTCACTTTCATTATTACATTTCACTAAACTTGTGGCAGTCTTTTAAAAATTGGGGTTTAATAAGTGATATTTATTTAATTTTATTCTCTCTCTCTTGCTCTTATTTAGTGAAAATCATATATTAAATTTCAATTAAATGAACTTTTGTTTAAACTTAATGGGAAGAGTCAAATTGTTACAACTTAAATTGTTTAGAATTTAAAATTTATTTTTTAAAATTTTAGAGATTAAATCATCGTTGAATTTATAATTTAGAGTTTAAATTACATATTAATTTTATATATATAGATATGTATGTATGTATATATGTTGTAAAGAATTTTGTGTATAAAGAGTCTTGGACATGCTTTCAAATGTACTGCCATGCCAAAAACTAAAAGCTTATCTTGCAAGTAATGTCACGCACACCTTAACCATCTTGATTCACGTTTTGTGGCCATTGAAGCATTTCTTTTCTTTTCTTTTCTTTTCTTTTTTTTTTTTTACAGCTGACATATCAAACTATTTTGGTTGATATAGTAAGGACTTTGGATATGCTTTTGCTTTAATGTGTCACCAAATAATAAAAAGCAAACCAATGTCTGGAGAATGAAGACAAGGAAATACGATAGAGGAGAGATAGCTTCTATGTTTTAAACCTAAATGAAATGTCAAGAGAACTTGAAAATCAAACTATCAAAGACACAGTTGCACGACCTCCGAAATGAAAAAGTTAAACACATTTGAGGAGGCAACACATATCAAGGCACGGGTTTCAGTTTTGATCTAGAATTTGTGTCACCTGTTACAATGGTTAGCTACACACATTTTAACGTCGTTTGTGCACGTCATGGTCCTCAAATCCATTTTTAGATTCCTAGGGATAAATACCTCTAAGAGCGTAAACTATAAGGAGCATATTTAAAAGAAAGAAAAAAAGAACTATAAGGACCAAGATCAGAACTGTGTAAAACTATGGGGACCTGAGGTATGTTTTTCCCCCTTTTTTTTTAGAGTGATAGTTATAAGGTTATTTTTATTTTAAATTTTGTAGCCTATTAAAATAATTTATTTAAAATATAAAAAAAATTATATTAAATCTGGACTGTTTAAATTAAATCTGGATCATGATGAATGCTTCGTAATGAGCAATAATTAATGGATCATCTATCTCTTTGGTAAATGGGGCGGAGTTCTTTTTTTCTCGGAAATGAATATATTGATGATTTTTATGCTTGTTTAAGATATAATACTCTTTTCAGTGCTTCCGAGGTTAGTCCTAGTTTTATTTGTAAGTTGCAGAGAAATATGCCTGATCAGCATCGCGTTGACGGAGTTGCATGAACCTGGTTTTTGATTCATAGCAACACAAATGAAAGAAAAGAGGGAGAAAAGTATTTTGAGTGCTTATGGATGTTCATAATGAAAATTCAGTTTTCACTATGCCCTCCCACACTCATATAACTTCTATGCACATATTGGGAAGTTTTCGTACATGCAGGAAGTTACAAATACTGCTCCCACTTTTTTTTTTTTTTTTTTGAAACAAAGATAAAAATGCACCCAATGGCCTTGACAATACATAAGGATCCTGTTGGAATTAATATTCAAAGAAGCTCCTTGGGCTTATAGAAAACCCAACACTGTTGGGCACTGATGCAAACATCAAGGATTTGTTGGGATGCCAACTTTCCAAATGTAGCCCCCATGGCAGAAACCTCCAATTATACTTCCTCTAGCTGGACTGCCTGGACATTCCCAAACTTTTAACTCCAGTACTGGCAAAGCTGATATTGAGGACTTTTGCAGAGAGATATTGAAGGCAACGTCTTGAAGGGTTTGATGTCAAACTGTCTCAACTAATTCTAGCTATCCCTCTTGCCTCTGAATTGGATTGCGCTGAACTCTACAACTTGATCTCTGAAATAGTCTAATAGAACTTACCAACTTTGACCAGAGATATCAGAATTTACAGAAGCTCAAACGCTTGCAGGTTTCGGCTTTTAAGGTTGTGGGATCAATAGGGTGGATTTTAGTGCCGCCACTATGTCCCCCTTCAATACGTTTTATATAGGGACCTCATTGATGCCAGAATCAGTATGCCTTCTCATCTGAGTCTTGTGGATAATGGTGAAAGCGTAGGCTAAATTGTTCACTTCTTTGTCATGGGCCTTTTGGTTCTTTTACTTAAGGCAATATCCAGAAAAATTAAGTGTTATTTAAGATAAATATTAATTTTTTTAAAAAATATAATTTTAAAGATTTATTAAATTAAATTATAGGAAAAAATTTGTTAGATAATTATTAGAGAATAAGCCATAAAGCATAAAATTAAAACTACCTAATATAAATAAAATTTAACCAGTACTTTTGTGTAGTAGAGGATTTTTTGTGATAATTTTTTATTTAAACAAATAAAAAATTATTTTTTAAAATTAGTATTCCTTCATTCTCAAACTATATCATTATTTGAAATTATTATATACGTTAGATTTTGTTGAACCCTAATTTTGATGATTACAAAATAAGAAAAGGTTGTGTTTGATAGATTCAATAATCACGAATCAATGGCTCATAAGGAAATTAGTCAACTTAAAAATAAATTTCTATAAGGACTCACTATTATGGAATAGTTGCCTTCTTTTCAAATAGACAGAGACACATAAAAATATTCTTTGATCTTCTTATGTCATGTTTCTCGCAAAAGATTAAGTATTTGACTTAATATTAATCTCTTGTACTGCCTAAATGGTGTCTCAAGTTTTCCTGGATCAAAATCTCATCTTCTGTGCACTTTTATTGTTTTCTTGATCTTTGGTCCTTATTTCGGAATAATGACCTTATTCCGAAATAGCCTGTTCCCCAGTGAGACTCCCTTCTTCCCAAGTATCATCTCTTCTGCCTATTCTGGAATAGCAGTTCTTATTCCAAAGTAGTGGTCTGATCTTCGTAAGCACATTGAGTCTTTCTGAAATTTAGCTTGTTTGGGAATAGTCTAGTCAGGAATAGCTTATTTGGGAATAAGCTTCTCTATTCTGAAATAAAGTCTTTCAAATTATCGTTTCATAACTTTATTCTGATGTATGCTATTTACTTCGAAATAAGCTCTCTACATTTTCATTCAATTTATTCTTCCTTATTCCTGAAAAGTCTTGCCTATTTCGAAATAATCACACATGTTCATACTCTATTTCATGTGAGAAAAACAGAGGTTTTCATGACCTTTGCTAAATCATTCCCTTTCACATTTTGAGTGTTATATTAACCATATAATGTCTATAGAATCATTCTAAACACATTCTTGGGATAAGTTGAGATTAGTTTGATCTTACCCATAAAATTGTTATTCCTAAATAAGCTTCTCTCTTTCAAAATAGCATTCTCACCTACCTTGTCAGAACATTTAATAAAAAGTTGTGTTACTTTCCTTACTTGCTGTAATAGAGAAAGCTTCGCCGAAAAATACTATTCCATTGTCCCAATTCAGTGATTGTTCAGATATCTTAGAGAAAAGAAGCTATTGACTCTAAGAGCTATGTTCACAAGAGTAACGAATCCTTAACGAGCTTCAACTATAAATGCAAACATTTATGAAGATGGAGAACATATGAAGAAATATGAAAAAGATCAAGTTATTTATATTTATTGTTCACCAACCTTCTGAGTGTATATTTATTTCCAGTAAGCTTCATTGATTATATATGAACTCTGAGAGAGAGTACTTAACAATTGTTGTTCACTTTTGAACATACTCTGTTTGCCTCTGTTTTACTGATTAATAACAAAGCATCTTAAACTTGAGGAGTTTAAGTGGGTTACTTCGTTACTTTTGTAAGCAGGAGTAAGGCAAAATTTAGTTTAAGTCTGGAATTGTACTGAGGCTACCAAGAGCCCGATTAATCTTGGTGAAGTTAGTGGAGAAATCTCAAGGAGGACTAGAGGATTGGACATAGGCTCAAGTGGTTGGAGTTAAACCAAGATAAATATCTAAACAAGCTTATTCTTCTTTATCTTCTCTCTGTTTGGTGATATCTCTCTAAACTCTCCTTATTTTAGTTATCATTTATCAAATTTTTATAAAACCCAATTTACCCCCCCTTGGGTGGGCTTTCAGATGTGAGTTCAAATAAATTTCTATAAAGATAAGTAAAAATTTTGAGGCAAATGAACCTTTTCCCAATAGGAGGAAATTGAAATTTCTTCTAGGGCCAAAAAAAAATTATTTGGGTCATTTCATACAATTTTTTCCCTTTTCTTGTGGGAGCATTTGCCCATCTAGTTACCAAATAGGTCCATCCCTACATAAAGGTTAAAACATACAAAGTATCCTAAATTTCAATACAGTTATATGTAACTTTTATCACATTTAAACATTTAAAATTAACTTCTCTAACCTTTTATTTTATTTTTTCAAAGCCCCCTACCATCAATATCCATGTTATCTTATCAACAGAGATTGTCATATTAGATTAATGATTTAGACATGACACATGATATGAAAAAAAAATTAAGTATTTTTCAACACAAATTAAGGAGGAATCATATAAATAAAAATTTATCCTTTAAAATAAGAAAAATGCGCACTGATAATGTTAGAAAAAATATGGATAAAATTTTTACGAAGATATTATAATGGCCCACACGCGAAGCATGGTGCACATAAAGGGCAAGGAGCCATGGAGAGCTTGAAGAATGATGGAGACATGTTTGATGGTCCGAACACTCAAGGAGGTGTGCCAAGCATAAGAGAAGTCTAATAATTCAAGTTCAATGTTC